GAGGATCTGTATGTGGTGATCATGTCCCCCCTAACTCTTCTGCCTTCCAGAAAGGAAACAGAGTAACGTGATGGGTTCGAGTACTGAACACCTATGATCATTAATGACCAAACTACACACCAATAGATGAAGGAACGACAACGTTTCGACTTGATAACGGTCCAGGACGGACCGAAACGTCGTCGTTTCTCCATCTTCTGATAAGTGGTCTGGTCGTTATGTCTTCAGCCCCGTTGTTGTGACTCACTACTTCTGATGACTAATTTACAATTGTATTTACATATAATGTTAATATGTTAATCATCGCACTCATCCGGTGGGTGGAGGTGGAGAAGGAACTCGCTATACTCGTCAATCTTTGGGAACTTGGCTAAGTTTCCGGTAAAGTTTTCATGATAAAGAGGTCATTGTGGCTGAGAGTGCTAAGGTGAGCGTGTGAATGTGGAGACGTCACTCGTCTCCTTCAAGGCGTTTACCTTCATATTTGGAGAGTTACTCATGGGCCACTTGGTAGTCTTCCCTGGAAACACAAACCGAAACTGTCTCTATTTTCCGCTTGTTACAACTTGTAATAAAGTTGTTACATCTTGGCTTAACGTGTTTATGACGTATTAGAACGTTGTTACAACTTGCTATATTGGTTGTTATAACTGGTTAGGAGGTGTTAAGACTTGTTCGAACGTTGTAACAACGTCGTAGTTTGTAACACTGTAAAAGTGTTTGGGTTAGTTTATTTAAAATATATATAGAATATGAGTCACAGACAGGGATTTGGAAAGGCGCCAAGTTGTCGGCGGAGATCTCACACCTCTAACGTTAATGACCCCAAGTGACCTGAGGTCAGATCATGATAATTTCACCTTGCTTCCGCTAAGCGTATAATTGGAGCCGGGTAGCTTCAAACATGCCGACGTTTAAGGAGTGGCTTGGTAGTGCCGGAGGCTATCTACTTGTGGGCGGAGTTAGCTACTAGGTTCCCCAATATAAACTCGGAGAGCTATCGAGCATTAAGCATTAACAGACAGAGCAGCAGACGAGAACAGAGAAGACGTCCTAACAGGGAGGCTGTCGGCCGACAGGGGCGAGACAGTCTCTGTCAAGCTACAGACCCCCCCCCCCTCTCTATTCAACTTAGACTCAGTCCTCGGTGAGTGAACATTTAGGTGACTTGGTCGTGTTTACATATGTTGTGTGATGATCAGGGGCAGTCAAGTTGTAGGGTTCTCGAATTCTTGGATGATGACTCTCTTTAACATTTTAATTGAATTGCTAAATTATGATACTCATGTGAAATATAATTATGAATTTATTATTTAAATTGTGTTTAACTTTGTTCCCTAGAGCTTTGAGTTGAGGTGAGAAAGCCTCTGTGGTTACTGTTTTCATGGTTTAGACTGAGTACATGGTACAGAGGGAACATACTAATAATGAACTCATGATAACATCATTTGAGTATTTTTGTGATACAGGCAAGTTCCATTCCTTGTCTTGTATGTAATGATCATGAATGGATGGTGGCAGCATTTCGTCTTCTACTATCTACTTTCTACTTCTACTTATCTACGTCTCTCCCTCCACCCCTCTCTAAACTCTCACTTTCAACTAATGACCCTCCTCGCTCCTCCCACCTCTCTGCCTCTCA